GAATAGAATAGAATAGAATAGAATAGAATAGAATAGAATAGAATAGAATAGAATAGAATAGAAAAAATGGAATGGAATAGAATATAATGGGATGGAATGGAATTAAATGGAATGGAATAGAATAGGAAATATGGAATGGAATAGAATGGAATGGAATAGAATGAAATGGAATAGAATAGGATAGGATAGGATGGGATGGGATGGAATGGAATGGAATGGAATGGAATAGAACGGAATAGAAGAATGGCACATTGGAGGTTTTCTAGTCCAACCCTCTGCTTAGCCAAGAAACCTAATGCCATTTCAGACAAATGGTTATCTAATCTCTTCTTAAAAGCTTCCAGTCTTGGAGCATCCACAATTTCTGGGGACAACTTGTTCCACTGATTAATTGTTCTCACTGTCAGGAAATTTCTGCTCAGTTCTAAGTTGCTTCTCTCCTTGATTAGTTTCCAAATGTTGCTTCTTGTCCTGCCCACAGGTGCTTTGGAGAATAGCTTGACTCCCTCTTCTTTGGGACAGCCCCTGAGATATTGGAGTGCCTGGAGTTCATATATATATTTTTCCCCTCTTGCTCCTTTCCTCCCTCCGTCTCTTCCATAGTTTTTTGAGCCTCCTAATATCTTTTCACCCTTCTCCAGTCTATTCGTACAAAGTCTCTGTTTTCACGGGTGATATCTACGGCGCCGGAACGGATGCAAATGTATTCCTAACCATCTATGGAGACTTGGGCGATACCGGCGAGAGGAAACTAAGGAAGTCTGAAACAAATACCAACAAGTTTGAAAGAGGACAGGTACTGGTAAAAGGGTCTTCTATTCGTGGCTGCAATGCTGGTCTCCCAACAGGGCCATTCATTCCTGCATTTTACATCTCACTTTCCTTTCAGGATTTTAAGTGTCAGGGTAGTGGTTTAAGAGCTGACCAGCTGCCCCAGTGATGCACTGATGTAATGAAGGGAATAAGTCAGCAAGGTTTTGGGCTGCTATCCCTTTAAGAGCCTGTATAATAAGAAGAGGCCCTGCTAGGGCATCTCTCTCTGTCTTTCTGTGTCTCTCTCTCTTTCTCTCTCCCCCCAACCCCCCAATTTGTTCTTCCCTGCTGTAATTTACTGATCGTTTGACTTCTGCCTATAGTACCATATATGCAGGGGTGGGCTGCTGGGGGTTCACAGGGGTTCGGGAGAACCCCTGGCTAAGATTCTGTGCAGTTCAGAGAACCTCCAAAATCCCACTCCTGGCTGGTCCTGCCCCCCCCCTCCCAGGAGTTCCCACGTGCGGAGGCTCGGGGAGAGCGAAAAACGGGGCTCCTGGAAGTTCAGGAAGGCCAGAAATTGGCCCGTTTCTGGCTTCCAGAGCCTCCGGAGCCCGGGGAGGCCATTTTCATCCTCCCAGTGGTTCAAGGAAAGCCTCCGGAGTTCGGGGAGGGCAAAGACCCCCCCACCGTGGTGCAGAAGGTGACTTGGCCATGCCCCCCATGACCACACCCACCCAGAAACCGGGCAGAGAACCCTTTGCTAAAATTTTTGAAGCCCAGCCCTGCGTGTATGTATAGTATATCTTCTTTGTAGATAAAAACCACTATTTATTACAAACCTCTGTTATTGCTCCTGGGTTGTTTCATGTAGTAAAGCCGTGTATACTCTGACATTAAGATATCCTATGTAGAATTCCCTCCTTTACAACTATTTACTGGAATATAAAATGGAAGAGGAAATGGTTAACGAAAATACGATAATCTAGGCTAAAAGTTTCAGCTGTAACATTGATCTGGACCGTTGGGAACGTATCTGTCAGCTAACCTATAAGCTAATATTGTCAGTCTCATATAAGGAGAACTTGTATAAAATGTTTTATCTCTGGCATCTCTCCCCCAGCGACGTTAGCCAGAATGTTTCCCAACATGACAGCAAAGTGCCGGAGATGTAATTACAGCCAGGGAACATATTTTCACATGTGGTGGACTTGTCCCCAAGCACGGAGGTATTGACACAAAATTAAATTATGGCTAGAGGAACCAACGAGACAGAAAATTGAGTTTAAACTAGAAATTTTTTTGTTAGGCATGCTAGAATCTAATTTTATTATTATTATTCTAAAATTAAATTTATTTATTCAACGTTTTGACAATTAAAAACAAATTTCCACATTTTGCAACATTACTATAACAGTATTTACATTAGTTAAGTGTCCTCTATTAGCGTATTATTCATCTCTATATTTGATTCTTCATCATTCTAAACATTTTATACATATATACATTTGTATTAACATTTATTTACACATAAACCTTGTTGCTTTATAGTATTTTATACATTATCATTTGACGCCTTTGCGTCTTTTTTTATCCATTCATACCAGATATCCCATATCTTATAGTATTCCCCTTCTTCCTTATCTTTCAATAGCTTCATCAATCTGTCCATCTCTGCGCATTCGTATACCTTGTTAATTATTGTGGTTTCTGGGGCGGTCATGGCCTGTTTCCAATTTGGGGCGAAAGAGATTCTGGCGGTAGTTATAATATGGAGCATTAAATATTGGTGGTTTTTTATTCATATTAGACGCTAGAATCTAATTTAAACAAAAAACATCAGTACTTAATGCTCCATAATATAACTGCTGCTAGAATCTCCTTTGCCCAAAACTGGAAACAGGCTACAACACCCTCAGAAACCACAATAATCAATAAGATATTTGAACATGCAGAAATGGACAGATTGACGATGCTGTTGAAATATAAGAGAGGAGAGAATTACAAGGTATGGGAAGTTTGATACAAATGGTTAAGGAGAAGACGCAAAAGGCGTCAAATGATAGTATATGAGAAAGTGCAAAGTACTATCACATATGTGCAAATATATGTATATACGCATAAAAATGCTCACAATTAGGAAGATCTTAATATAGCTATGGAGGATATTAACCAATGTAAACACTGTTACAGTATCATTGCAAAGTGTGGAAATCTGTTTGTTTTTTAATTGTTGAAACATTGAATAAATAAACTTTAAAAAAAAAATTCTCTCCTCCAGGGTAAATAACTACCTGAGGGGTGAAGGTTGTGCTGTAACATTTTTTTTTTTTGGGGGGGGGGGGGGTGTATTTCGTTTTTTTATATTTTTAAAACATCATTTTTTTTTAGCGAACAGCATGATTCCAGGTTTTCACATTTCCATACAAACATGACTTTGATTACATATTCATCTTTCATATTTAGTTTTATATCTTACCGTTACTTTACATATTTTCTATTATTTTTCTCAAATACTTTCCTCAAGCTTATTTTTATAAATTTTCAAATCATTTCTTAACCTATTTCTTTTAACTTTAAATAAGTCTCACATCTTCATATTCACTATACTTAGTACTTTTATCTGTCAGGTTTGCAATTTCATCGCAAATTCTGAATTCATCATTACAAAAATTCCATCTCAATTCAAACATTTCAAAAAAGCTTCCCTTAAAATTACCAATTAGAGTATGCCATCCCTATACCTTTTAGTTCCTCTTTAAATCCCAATAATCATTTTACTTTTTAATTATCACCTTAAAAATTTATAACAATGATCTCCTGGGATAAGAGGCTTTGAGTGGTTCAAAGTCACCCAGTAAGTTACCATTGCTGATGGTGGATTTTGAACCCAAGTCTCCCTGAGACAAGAAATGCCCAACCTTCTTTCAACGTGGCATCCAAATTGAGCGTGTAAGTAAATACAGGTAGTCTTCGACTTACAACCATTTGTTTAGTGATGTGTTTGAAATTACAATGACACTAAAAAAGTGACTAATGACCCCTTTTCACACTTATGACCGTTGCAGCATCAATTCCTCCAACTTGGCCTCCAATGTCCAATTAACATCGGCTGGAGAAAAACCTCTCCCAAAAGCAGTTTTCAAAGGGAAGAAATTCCATCCGAACTCAATGTACATATAAATTATAAACAAAAACCAACACAAACCACACTGCAGCAATTAACGAGACAGGGCAGGATAAGGGATTGAAGATGTCAAAAGATAATGAGACACACACACTTGGGAGGACACCAGAACTCAGATAAGACTTGACAAACCAGAATAATTTCACGCTTTGCTTCCAGAAACTTTGCCATGCACAGTTTGCCCTTTTAAACAGTCTTCCGAGCTGCAGCCAATGAAGGGGATCAGGGCCCTTTCCTCCCCCGTAAACCATGCAACTCACCTTGCTCCCTTATCCATTCTTCCCTTTGTGCCTTAGAATGCAGAGGGGGTGGGCATGGGCCTTCCTCTGAATGTCCAGCTGGACTGTGCCCTTCCCCAGTTTCCTCCACAGCCACCGGAGCCACACTCCCACTCCCTGCTGTTCCACCTCTCCCTCAGAATCAGGTTCCAACAGGGGCATGGCAGATGGCTGTAGTGCCCTGGAGGTCATGTGATTCTCTTTTATGACCTCCTCACAAGCAAAATCAATGGGGAAGCTAGATTCACTTAACAACCATGTTACTAAGATAATAACTGCAGCAATTCATTTAACAACTCTGGTTGTAAAATGAGGCAATGTTCACTTAACAACTGTCTTAAGAACAGAAATTTTGTGCTAATTATGGCGGTAAGTCTGAAGACTACCTGTATTCTTCAGATGGGTGAAAATGTATATTCCAAAGTTTCCAGACAGTCATAAATACTGGAGGTTTTTTAGAAGAGATTGGACAACCATTTGGTGTAGACAAGGTTTCCTGCTTGAGCGGGGGGGGGGGGGGGGGGGGGGGGGGGGGGTGGACTAGAAGACCTCCAAACTCCCTTCCAACTCTGTCATACTGTTTGTATAACAGAGGTTGTTTAAAGACCAACCAAGAATTTCTCTTCTATCTCCCGCAGGAAGACATCTTCACAGTGGAAGCTGTGGACCTGGGAACCATCTCTAAAATCAAGATACGCCATGACAACACCCTGCCAAGGCCCGACTGGTACTTGGAGAAAGTTGAGATCCTGAACGATGCCACCGACAGCGTCTACCTCTTTGAGTGTGAACGTTGGCTGTCCAGAAAAAAGGAGGATCTAAGCATCGAGAGAATCCTTTGGGAAAAAGTAAATCTTGATATTAAAAGGCTTTCCGCATTTCCTAAATTTTAGCGGGAGAGAAGAACACCGTTTTTTTTTTCCAGAGAATCAAAGGTAGATTAAAAGAGAGATGGGTTGTCACAAAGAAGAGGGGGTCGAATTATTTTCCAAAGCACCAGAGGGCAGGACAAGAAACAAGGGAGGGAAACTAATCAAGGAGAGAAGCAACCTGGAATTGAGGAGAAACTTCCTAACAGTGAGGACTATTAACCAGGGTGACAGCTTCCCTTCAGAAGTTATGGGTGCTCCATCACTGGAGGTGTTTAAGAAGAGATTGGACAGCTACTTGTCTGAAATGGTATAGGGACTCCTGCTTGAGCAGGGGGCTGGACTAGAAGACCTCCAAGGTCCCTTCCAGCTCTATTCTGACTGATTGAAAGGTGCTTAGAAAATGAAGATAAATTGGGTGCATTAAGCTGTGGGAAAGCTTCAATACTTAATAAATGGTTATAAAGTATTGTAGAGAATACAGAATAACAGAGTTGGAAGGGACCTTGGAGATCTTCTAGTCCAACCCCCTACTCAAGCAGGAGACCCTATACCAGTGGTGGCTAACCTCACTCAGCTCACACAGAGGTCGGCCTTTGAGCCCTGCATGCACGCAAAGCTCAGCTGATTCACACAGCAGAATGGATTGTAGCGCCTCAGCTGAGCTAAAAAACAGCTC